ACAAAATATGAGTACAAATTCACATACAAGTGCAAAACAACTCGGTCAAATACAGGAGGCACCTTTCGCTCGGGATATGTCATATTCAGGCCACATACACCCGCCAAGCTCATTGTGGTATTTTAGACATAACGAAATACATCCATATATGAATATGCACATACATCGACAGGTATATATAGTTTATGTGCAGATATCACATACAAGTGCAGAGTATCTTTGTCGAACTCAGCTGGGCCCCTGACACCGGCCATCCCACCGCGTTTCTTTGAGGTGGAGTGCATGTGTGAATTTGCAGGGGTCTTCAGAGGGGTCTTCATGGGGGTCTTGGTATTCTGCTTCTTGACTTCGACCGTTACATACTGCAGTAGGTGTGCGAAAGGTAGCGTGCACAACAGATAAACAACAGTATGTTGAAAGTACGTGGACAGCTTGGTAGCTGTATTTGCATGTAAATTAATGCATGCATGACATTATATGTGAGCACATGAGTTTTCGGCAAAGGTCCTCAGGGGGGTCTTCAAGAGGGTCTTGATATTTTGCTTCTTGACGTCGACCGTCCAATATAAAGCATAATGTACAAACGTTGATTAAAAGGAACAATTCACCATGATATATCTGTATATGTGCTATCTGAGCCAAAGTTGGTGTCTCTACACATACACGGGTGAATATATATCGCACATAGTCGCGTAGCTACCTCTACGCATGTAATGGTAGTATGTGCCTGGCATGTAAGACAATGCTCGCAAGTACATACCTTTTTGAATGGTTCGAGCTGTTGGGCATCTAGCTGGGGCAAATCATTCGAACAACTGTAGGCATCCCAATAGTCCTTCAAGTCTTGCGGTGACAGATATAGAGTGCGACAAAGTTCAAAACCTGATTAAAGCGAGTTGAAAATATTAATTCGACATATGTTTCAAACTACTATATACATGTGAACAAGATTTATTGTGCATGAATTTTCACATACATGTATATAGACATATTTAAGTAAACACTTATGTATATATATATATATATATA